CCTAAAAAAGCAGACTGATTGTGTTTTAGAGTACAGAAATATTCTGTCACATCTCCGGCAGCATGTTTTGCTTGTTCCTGAACAGATTAAATATTAAAATCACATGGAGCATCCTGTAAACCCTGCCTGCAATGTTAATGTGTTCTGTTAAGCATCCCTGCCCTTCATAAACATTTTAAACATGTAACACCAATGCCAGAGAATAACAAGTCTTGATTATCTGCCTAAACAGATTCCACTGGGTTTAAATTGCCAAATGGTGATGAAAATTGTGTGAATGGATCACTTAAAATCATTGATGACACCAGGTGTTCACAGAACACACTACAGAGGGTCATTGATGACACCAGGTGTTCACAGAACACATTACAGAGGGTCAGTGCATTGTTCTCAGTGGAGATTGTTTCACCATTCACATTTCCTTTCCCAGTATATCTGAGTGTGATTCCCAGTGTATCTGAGTGTGATTCCCAGTATATCTGAGTGTGATTCCCAGTATACCTGAGTGTGATTCCCAGTATATCTGAGTGTGATTCCCAGTATATCTGAGTGTGATTCCCAGTATATCTGAGTGTGGTTCCCAGTGTATCTGAGTGTGATTCCCAGTATATCTGAGTGTGATTCCCAGTATATCAGAGTGTGATTCCCAGTATATCTGAGTGTGATTCCCAGTATATCTGAGTGTGATTCCCAGTATATCTGAGTGTGATTCCCAGTGTATCAGAGTGTGATTCCCAGTATCTCTGAGTGTGATTCCCAGTATATCTGAGTGTGATTCCCAGTATATCTGAGTGTGATTCCCAGTGTATCAGAGTGTGATTCCCAGTATCTCTGAGTGTGATTCCCAGTATATCTGAGTGTGATTCCCAGTGTATCAGAGTGTGATTCCCAGTATCTCTGAGTGTGATTCCCAGTATATCTGAGTGTGATTCCCAGTATATCTGAGTGTGATTCCCAGTGTATCAGAGTGTGATTCCCAGTATCTCTGAGTGTGATTCCCAGTATATCTGAGTGTGATTCCCAGTGTATATCTGAGTGTGATTCCCAGTATCTCTGAGTGTGATTCCCAGTATATCTGAGTGTGATTCCCAGTGTATATCTGAGTGTGATTCCCAGTATATCTGAGTGTGATTCCCAGTATATGTGAGTGTGAATGCTGTCAAACAACTGAAGTAAACACTCCGCCACCCTGTGGGCTCTTTCTCAAAAGCTGTTGTACTTCTTTCAAAATTCACTTAAGCAAATGTTTTGTGTGACAAATTCATGAATAATCAATTGAGAAATGGAAGCAATTTTGATTTGGGACTTATTTAACAACAATGAGCAATTGAAAGTGGTCTACCCACAGCTTTAGGTTTCATGTTCTATCTCATTAAACACATGCATCGATTTAGATGCACAGTTGTGTGGAGCAAGCTAGCTTGGTGGTGTCATGACAAGCCCACAGACTCACTGAGTAATGGAGTTCCATTCAGGCTCGACACATACACGATCCATCTCACACATAATTGATGCAGCTTTCTCTGCTGTACTGACATGTTTTCCTGGACAAGATTACACTTATTTATGTATGTATTCATAGATGAACAATCTCTGTGAATACATGTTTATTTAACCAAAGTGTTTTATTGTGCAAAACATACTAAAATATGTGGAAAAATAATGCCACTTCACTAAAGCTCACCATGATCTGCAGGGGGAGATGATTTTTACTGTGAGAGGAAATGCATTTTTAAAAAAAAATATCTTGAGTCCCACTAGTAACTAAATATGTCACAAATTTTATTCAATTTGATCAAAAACACCTGATTAAAGGCCGTAAGTAGCTATGGCGGCCATTTTGAAAATTGGAAATAGCATGTGAAACTTCATTAGTTCAGTTGGGTACAATGTGTGAAGCCCATTCCTGGTGTCCCCCGCCGTGATATTGCTGGAATATTGCTAAAAGCGGCGTAAAACCATACTCACTCATTAGTTCAATTGTCTCTGGAAGGAAGGTGCACAGTGTACAATGGCCAACAAACCATGACATCAGCTCACTTAACTTCTCAGTCAGGTCAGCAATGCAATTAAATAGTAAATAATTCCTTTTGGGAGCTATATTTGATCATTGGTATTGCACTCGGACCCTGTGATACTGCGACATTTATCATATAGTGGTATTTGTGATTTCCAGTAGTTCACGCGGGACATGCATCCTAGTGGCTGTCCAAACTTGCAACACAGTGGCACAATGAGATACACACGTATACCATAATGATAGTGTGAGATACAAACTTGCAACACAGTGGCACAATGAGATACACACGTATACCATAATGACAGTGTGAGATACAAACTTGCAACACAGTGGCACAATGAGATACACACGTATACCATAATGACAGTGTGAGATACAAACTTGCAACACAGTGGCACAATGAGATACACACGTATACCATAATGATAGTGTGAGATACAAACTTGCAACACAGTGGCACAATGAGATACACACGTATACCGTAATGACAGTGTGAGATACAAACTTGCAACACAGTGGCACAATGAGATACACACGTATACCATAATGACAGTGTGAGATACAAACTTGCAACACAGTGGCACAATGAGATACACACGTATACCATAATGACAGTGTGAGATACAAACTTGCAACACAGTGGCACAATGAGATACACACGTATACCATAATGACAGTGTGAGATACAAACTTGCAACACAGTGGCACAATGAGATACACACGTATACCGTAATGACAGTGTGAGATACAAACTTGCAACACAGTGGCACAATGAGATACACACGTATACCGTAATGACAGTGTGAGATACAAACTTGCAACACAGTGGCACAATGAGATACACACGTATACCGTAATGACAGTGTGAGATACAAACTTGCAACACAGTGGCACAATGAGATACACACGTATACCATAATGATAGTGTGAGATACAAACTTGCAACACAGTGGCACAATGAGATACACACGTATACCATAATGACAGTGTGAGATACAAACTTGCAACACAGTGGCACAATGAGATACACACGTATACCGTAATGACAGTGTGAGATACAAACTTGCAACACAGTGGCACAATGAGATACACACGTATACCGTAATGACAGTGTGAGATACAAACTTGCAACACAGTGGCACAATGAGATACACACGTATACCGTAATGACAGTGTGAGATACAAACTTGCAACACAGTGGCACAATGAGATACACACGTATACCATAATGATAGTGTGAGATACAAACTTGCAACACAGTGGCACAATGAGATACACACGTATACCATAATGACAGTGTGAGATACAAACTTGCAACACAGTGGCACAATGAGATACACACGTATACCTAATGACAGTGTGAGATACAAACTTGCAACACAGTGGCACAATGAGATACACACGTATACCATAATGGTAGTGTGAGATACAAACTTGCAACACAGTGGCACAATGAGATACACACGTATACCGTAATGACAGTGTGAGATACAAACTTGCAACCCAGTGGCACAATGAGATACACACGTATACCTAATGACAGTGTGAGATACAAACTTGCAACCCAGTGGCACAATGAGATACACACGTATACCATAATGACAGTGTGAGAAACAAACTTGCAACACAGTGGCACAATGAGATACACACGTATACCATAATGACAGTGTGAGATACAAACTTGCAACACAGTGGCACAATGAGATACACACGTATACCATAATGACAGTGTGAGAAACAAACTTGCAACACAGTGGCACAATGAGATACACACGTATACCATAATGACAGTGTGAGAAACAAACTTGCAACACAGTGGCACAATGAGATACACACATATACCATAATGACAGTGTGAGATACAAACTTGCAACACAGTGGCACAATGAGATACACACGTATACCGTAATGACAGTGTGAGATACAAACTTGCAACACAGTGGCACAATGAGATACACACGTATACCATAATGACAGTGTGAGATACAAACTTGCAACACAGTGGCACAATGAGATACACACGTATACCATAATGACAGTGTGAGATACAAACTTGCAACACAGTGGCACAATGAGATACACACGTATACCATAATGACAGTGTGAGATACAAACTTGCAACACAGTGGCACAATGAGATACACACGTATACCTAATGACAGTGTGAGATCCAAACTTGCAACACAGTGGCACAATGAGATACACACGTATACCATAATGGTAGTGTGAGATACAAACTTGCAACACAGTGGCACAATGAGATACACACGTATACCGTAATGACAGTGTGAGATACAAACTTGCAACCCAGTGGCACAATGAGATACACACGTATACCTAATGACAGTGTGAGATACAAACTTGCAACCCAGTGGCACAATGAGATACACATGTATACCATAATGGTAGTGTGAGATACAAACTTGCAACACAGTGGCACAATGAGATACACACGTATACCTAATGACAGTGTGAAATACAAACTTGCAACACAGTGGCACAATGAGATACACACGTATACCATAATGACAGTGTGAGAAACAAACTTGCAACACAGTGGCACAATGAGATACACACGTATACCGTAATGACAGTGTGAGATACAAACTTGCAACTCAGTGGCACAATGAGATACACACGTATACCTAATAACAGTGTGAGATACAAACTTGCAACTCAGTGGCACAATGAGACACACACGTATACCTAATAACAGTGTGAGATACAAACTTGCAACTCAGTGGCACAATGAGACACATTATACAATGGTTGCAGTATGGGCCACAGTGTGATGTATATCAGACAGGTACTTTTGCCACATAAATTACTTTACAGGATTTCAGACATGCCATTATGATTATTTATTTCCCAGAATAATGCAGGCTGTGTTTCAGAAGAAGAAGAATGTTTTACCTTATGCAAACTTATACCATAGTGACAGTAGCTGAAGCTTTGTGATGATCATTATCATATGTTCCAGACGGTTCAGACATGCCATGTGTCGTGTCCAGGGGAGTGTCTCTTGTCCAAATGGTCCCAGTGGAGTGAGTGCCATATCAGCTGCCAAGACTTCAGTCACGGTGAGTACAGCCTTGTAGACGGATGTCCTTGAGAGGACAGCCTATCTCATTCCGGTATTTCCTGCTGTTATAGGGGCACTCATGTGGTAATATATAGTCTCACAAGATGCTGTCTCATGGACCCAGCAGGTCTGTAATTCATTTCAGTAAAAGGACTCATTGTGTCTAGCAGTATTTCAGAAACTCCAACAAACTTCTTGATGTCACTTTCCATGTGATGCCAGACAAATGTGTTTTCTTCCTACACTGACCCTAAAATTCCTGAAAGAAAGTGAAATATTAGAATTATGTTTTTTGTGCAATTCAGTTTTCATCGTATTTGGTTTATGACTTTTATTTAAAGATAAATAACCTCAAATCCACCTAAAATACACACAAAACATATCTTTAAGATTACCTCCCACCTCTTGGCATCTTGACAAACCTGTGAAGCAGGCCTGATGGACTTTTAAACATGAAACTTTTCCACTTTTAATTACATTATGGCTGGAGTGTCTGACATTTACTTTCTTGGAGTGATGAAGCCCACAGGTTAAAGATGTCTTAATGTGTCATCTACATTACCCAGCAGAGTCGGTGTAGCTTAATGAGGGATTGGTGTGAATGTGGAGTAGCCCCTAGCTACTGGGTGAGATGGTGACAAGAATGCTGCAAATGCTTGCAAACTTTCTTTTGAAGTTTTGCAGTTTTGCCTCCTTGGTCCACTACAACATGTCCAAGATTAGGATAGAATTAAAGGTGCAGGGTCAGACTTCTGAATGTAGTATGTTTTGCTGAGATCTGTTTGATAAGGAAGCCAAAGTATGACATTTTTCCCCCTGCTATGTGTGAAGGTGTTGGGGAATATATAGTAGAACAGTCTGGCAGGAGGCTGGAATATGATCCAGTGCAATCAGAACACTATGACCCCAAGGAGTCCTCTCCGTCACATCCGAAGGCTGAACTTTATGTCCTTGCTACTAACACCACAGATTCAAGGGACCAGTTGTAGTTATCAGGGGAAGAATAATCATAGATACACATATCTGTTCACACCCTCACAAAGTCATCTCAGCTCAATATCTATCATAACTACTCTCACATGGACACTTACAACAGTGAGTGAGTGGTGGGTGGGTGGATGAGTGAGTGAGTGAGTGAGTGAGTGAGTGGTGAGTGGTGGGTGAGTGAGTGAGTGAGTGAGTGAGTGTGATTTTACACCACTTTTAGCAATGTTCCAGCAATATCATTGCGGGGAATGACAGAAATCGGTTTCACACATTGTACCCATGTGGGGAATCAAAACGGATTCTTCAGTGTGACAAGCAAACACTTTAACCACTAGGCCACTGCACTGTCCCCATTTACAATAGATTGTGTGTGGGGGCCCGAGAAGTTCAAGTCACAAGTTTGTCAGTTAACGAACTGGTGAGTGAGTTGGGTTTAACGCCGCTTTTAACAGTATTCCAGTTATATCACGGCGTGTCAGCTTAATGTGGGAGGAAAGCCCAAAGTGATGCAGGTCTCAGACGTTTATCACTTCGGTGAAACCCACGAGCACGGGTATGGTGCTGACAAACCTAGAATCATAAACGGGGCGAACCGGGATTCAAACCCACAATCATAGGTTTCTGGCGTGCCCAAGGGATGCAACTCTGCACAGCGAATCGCGGTGCCTTAGACGACTGGGCCACCCGTGCCCCCAACTAAATGGTGAAAATTTGCACCCAAATAATTAAATATGACTATAAGACTACCTTTATGTCCCAGATTCCACCCAGAATATCGGGGTCAAGGTTCGATCCCGGGCAATCCTGGCGCACCCCCGGCAAGACAATGTGCCCTGCAGTGAGTTGTTGTGGGAGGAGGAGCCCTGCCACGCCCAGAGATGCTACTCCTTCTACTGGTTCAACACAAAATGGAATCGGTACGGGAAGCGAGAAGTGTGGTGTCAGAGATCCGATGGGCTTCATGTCATGGGTGAGTTTCCATGGATTCCTTTTCAGAGCTTTACGTTTTGTCATAAAAACTATTTCATCTTATCATCCAAAACTGGCTTCCACAGGAGATATCGCTTGGGTGATGAAATGAAATTGCATCACAATGCTTTGCAGTCCATTGTGACATGATCTGGTACCATGACATCACAATCAAATGATGTAACTAATCTCTGTACTTTTTATATTCGATACACTGGTTACTTTTGTTTACAAACTGAAAAAGTCGGAAGAATGATTTTGGATGATAAACAGAATGCCATCCATGTGTCTTGCAAGCTGAAATAAATCATAAGTCATTGATATATTTGATGTCAGAAAACATTTGGGGTACATTCTGTTTATTCTTGTATGGGGTAGCTTAGTGGTAAACCCCTTGACACCTTGACTGGGCAAGTGACTGAGTTCAAATGTGCCTCTGTTCACCCAGCAGGGAATGGGTACCTGATATGTGTGGTGGATGTAAAAACCTTCTTGGCAGCTTGGGTTGTATACTCCCCAGGGAGTTGAGAATGATAACTGATCCACTGGTCGGGGAACAAATAAAACTGCATTTGATACTATAGTACCTGGATACCTTGGGTATATAAACGTATAATATAATACGAATTATAATTGAAGATACATAGTGACAATGTTTGAAGCTTATTCTTGACGTCCTTGCCATGATATTGCTGGAATATTGCTAAAAGCAGCATAAAACCAATCTCACTCACTCACTCTGTAACATTTACATCACATTCATACATCTGTAGAAATACAAATATTATGACATTCAATAAAGGGATTGTGAGATGAAGACCTGGGCCCACTTGCACAAAACAATTTTAGCGCTAAGATGATCTTTACTCCCATACATTAACATGGGCTTACGATAGTCTTAGCGCTAAGATCGTTTTGTGCAAGTGGGCCCTGGAGACTATAGATGTTCACACAGAAGTAAAGTACTTACAGTTCTGTCTGTCACAGAAATATTTATTTCATACATTTACATATATTTTTATAAAAAACAGCAGGATTAATTCTTTTAATGAGGATTGAATTAAAGAATTTTGGTTTATCAAAAACTGAGTTGTAAACAGGTTTTCTGTTCCATATGGATTGCTGGTTACTTTGTAGCTGATTATCAACAGGTTTTTACATGGAAAGGAAATCTTAGTTCATCCTTCTGCTTCCTATTCCACAGGGACGGGTCGCTGATGGTTTGAGTGTTAAAACAACACTGACAGTCCTACATTGCTATTATTCCTGAAGCCCATTCTTTTTGTCTCAGCTGCTGCAAGCAAACAAACAATTATTGTTCCAGCTGCCACAAACAAACAATTATTGTTCCAGATGCCACAAACAAACAATTGTTGGTCCAGCTGCTGCAAACAAACAAACAAACAAACAAAAAATTGTTATTCCAGCTGGTGCCCCAAACTAACGAACAATTTTTGTTCCAGCTACCGCAAACAAACAATTGTTGCCGGAAACAAACAAACAAACAAACAAACGATTATTATTCCAGCGGCTGCAAACAAACAAACAAACAAACAAACAGCTGCTTCCACATTGCTGTAAGACTCACTCATTCCATGGTTCGTAAACACGTCATTGGAAGAGTTGTCAGTTTTGTGTTGGGTGTGACTGGTGCTAGTTTGTTATCTTGAGACCAGTGAAGAAAGCATTCAATTGTTGATGAACCTGTTATTGAGTAAAGGTTCAGGATTACATTAGCAAGTCTTTTGTTTGATAATAGAATAAATAAATCATGTTTGATACAAAACAAATTCCAAAGTGTGACATTTTCAATCTTGAATGTGCAAGATGGCCAATGTTTTGTTGTACAAAGAATGAGCGAGTGAGTGAGTATGGTTTTAGCAATATTCCAGCAATATCACGTCGGGGGACACCAGAAATGGGCTTCACACACTGTACCCATGTCGGGAATCGAACGCTTTAACCACTAGGCTACCCGACTGCCCCTGTTGTACAGAGAATAATTGCATCCACATTACAGGGCCTGTACTAAAGACACCCCAATCTGACGTGATGATTGTCCACTTGCATCAGTGTGGGAGCATGGGAGTGTTAATCATTGCATTAATCATACCTGGAAGTCAAAACTATAGATATAAATATTAATACAATATTTCTTCATTATCATATGCAAAAATATTATTCCAAGGAAAAGCTTTTAAGACCAAATTTTGAAGATTCCTGATGATATTCATATTTGAATCAAATTGTGTAAAAATCTGGGGATCATTCTCTGTAATCCTGTCAGATTTGTCACAAGTTGTTCTGAATCAATATATTTCGTTCAATGACGTGAAAAACTAATTGGGAGAATTTGAAAGGCTGTCATGTCATGTGGATATGTTTTTTTGTCTTCCAGCCATACATGAGAGCATTCAGTCAGTGAAAAAAATCAATGTAGAAAAGAAAATCCTTTTGCATCGATACACAGGTTCTTACGGTACTCTGAGTTTACTCTCCCGAGAAACACACATGGTTATGACAGCAAAGTGACCATTCATTCAGATAATTTTCTCCACTATATTGCTTTACGTCCAATGGAATCTGTTTCGACAGATGATCGAGACTGGTTGTTTCCTGGCGTTGACGTATTATTTTATCACATGCTGTTTTGGGTTGTTTTTTTGTCATTTGGTCCAAGGACAACTAATCACAAAGTGATCAATAAAATTTACGTAAGGAAAAGTTTATTCCGTTTTTTATTCTGGGAAATAGTGATCAAAATGTCTGTCTGTCTATCTGTCAGACAAAAAAGTAGCCAAACTCCATTTCCTAGTTGCATCAGAGCAGGGGGATATGTCATCTCCTGATGACTTGTTTAAATTCACTATTGAGCTTTGATGCATGCACAGATGATGGTTTAGTTTTACTATCATGATGGGTGATGAAGTAAATGTGGAAGGTTGCTGAATCAATTTATTGTTTTTCTTGACATGATTTGTGGTAACTCAAGTAAATCAAAGTGACAAAACCCTTTCCATATTCACTAGAAAAGTCGATGGTATGACTGTTTGACTTGCTTTGACGGTATGCCTCAGTCACACATGGTTGAACATCCTTCTTCCTGACATCCCGCAAAAAACACCAGATGCTTGTTCATCAATAAGATCTAGAACCTTGTGGCACCTACTATTGATTTAATAAGAAAATTAAATGGGCTGGCAACAAACAAAATGTCCTCCATTAATAAATCACCTCCCCATGTGGGAAAAGAGAAAGCATTTTCTCCCAAGCCAGACTTAATGCTTTACCATCTGGTGTCGATACCCTATTACTCAGGGAAACTTTCTGGAGAACACGGGCTAATCACATAAACCTGCCTGAGGCATTTATACATGGAAGTTTCACTGAAAACATTAAAGCTACCTTCCTATCTGTGTCCTATATCACATGACTCGGACATAGGACCAATTAGTGGGATGTGGTGCTGTGTTCTTCAAACCTGATTGATTCCACCAAAGATGAGAAGAATACAGTAAGATTATAGTCTGTCCATGGTAATTAACTAGGTGTTCTCCACACAGCGATTAGTCCATCCAAGATGGCTTCTATCATTTCTTTACGCGGGCATACAGCTATATAGTATCCTGTTGTATGTTATTGAATCTTGTTCGCATTTTATTTTCTGTTTGCTTGTGACAGTGTAGGTCCGTTTCCTCAGGTTTTGAGTAAATGTGAAGAATTTCAATAGATACAACCAAGAATTTACTTTGGTGTTGTAATAATATACAGTGTGTAAGAGAGAGAGAGAGAGAGAGAGAGAGAGAGAGAGAGAGAGAGAGAGAGAGAGAGAGAGAGAGAGAGAGAGAGAGAGAGAGAGAGAGAGAGAGAGAGAGAGAGAGAGAGAGAATATACTGACATACCAAATAGTTATCTCTGATCACTGGTGGGCAGATACACAACTGATAATAAACACGGCTGATTATTCTCTATCAAAAACCTGGATCGCTTCTAAACCTGGATCAGAAAATGGATGCCTTCTTATGACTTTTTTGCATCTCCTGTCTAAGTCACAGACTTAACTGTGTCACGGAGACAACGGAACACAAATCCATGATATCATGATATCAAGCATCAATATCCGTCCATGATCATGATGTCCTGTTCTTTGATGCTGTGATTGCTGTGATTTGACCCAAGCGGTAAACATCCACAATCTCCATATCTGGGGATCAGCCGTCATACTTGGATGTCATCCTTGTGGATGTCTCCCACATTATGTCTTATTCATACCCTTCTTTTGTACAAGACACATGGCTGGATTATTAGTGTTTTGTCGACGTTTTTAATATTTTGTCTTATTCATACTTTTTTCATGAAAATAAGAGCTACAATATCCTTTCCATAATGATGAAAAATCTCCATTGTAAAGTCCATTGTACAATGAAGAAAAGTGATGATACCAGGTGTTTGCAAAAAGGTGAGCGTATCCTTCCCCATTGGTGGAGACTGTCACAACACATGCAATTGTTCCCTGAAAAAAATCACAAAACTTAAGGTCAGTCACATTGGAAATCAGTTTGGATGGATTACTCAGGATTCCACAGGAACCCAGTGCAGTCACAGAGATATCTGTGTGACGGATGCATTCCTGCCTTCAGCCCTGTCACAGGTACAAACAAACAAACAAACAAACAAACAAACACTTTGTGCCAACACTCATATAGTTGGTTGGTTGGTTGTTTTACGCCACACTCATTAATATTCCAGCTATATGACCGCAGTCTGTAAATAATCAAGTCTGGACCAAACAGTCCAGTGATTGACATCATAGTGATGGCATTGTGTCTTCTCCCGAGCCTCATAGGCGGGATCCATTACAAGCCGATTGAAAGGATAGGGATGACTGCGAGAGAAGCCCCATCAAAGGCTGGGATCTATAAGCGGTTATAGCCAAGATGAAGGCGCCTATCTTGGCTGTTCATTGCTTCCTTGTCATACGATATGAAGTCCTCAAGTAGA